AGTCCCAGCTACTCGGGAGGCTGAGGCAGGAGGATCGCTTGAGCCCAGGAGTTTGAGGTTGCTGTGAGCTAGGATGACGCCACGGCACTCACTCTAGCCCGAGCAAGAGTGAGACTCTGTCTCAAAAAAAAAAAAAAAAAGATATCTATGAGAACTCAACAACTATCATCATAGTGATGAGACCGAATGCTTTGTCCCAGTCAGGAACAAAGCAAGGATGCCTGCTTACACCACTTTTACTCAACATTATATCTGACCACAGACAGTAGTGGTAAGAAAAAATATATATAAACAAACAAAAAAACAAAAAAACCCAAAAACATTATACCAGCAGTGTTAGCCAGTGCAATAATAAAGAAATAAAAAGTTTGCACACTGAAAAGGAAGACATAACACTGTCTTTGTAGAAAAAATGATCACTTTATGAAGAATTTTCTAAGGAATCTGTGAAAAAATCTATTATAACTAAAAAGTAAATTTACCAAGGTATAGGATACAAAACAAATATATGAAAGTCAATAGTGTTTTTATTTTTATTTTTTTTTGAGACAGAGTCTGGTTCTGTTGCTACTATGTAAGTATACTAGTATGTATGTGGAAGCTCACTGCAACCTCGAATTCCTGGGCTCAAGTGATCCTCCTGCCTCAGCCTCCTAAGTAGCTGGGACTACAGGTATGTGCCACCACACCTGGCTAATTTTTTTTGTTTTGTAGAGACAATGTCTCACTCTGTTGCTCAGGCTGGTTTCAAACTCCTGGGCTCAAATGATCCTCCTGCCTCATCCTTCCAAAGAGCTATGATATAGGCATGAATCACCACACCTGGCCTCAACAGTGTTTTTAAATATTAGTGACAAACTATTGGAAATTGATATTTAAAAATACCATTGTCAATAGCATAAAAAAAAAGGAATAATTCAGAATAAATTTAACAAAATATGTGCAAGACTTGCATGTAAAGCAACAAAATACTGCTGAGAAAATTAAAGAGGACCTACATTGTCTATGGACTGGAAGATTCAATATTGTTAAGACATCAATTTAACCCCAATTTTATGTGAATTTGAATCAAAGTGGATATGAGATAGATTTATATTGTGAATCTATGTGAAACAGATTCAATGTGATCCCAATTAAAATCCAAATAGGCTTTTTATAAAAACTGACAAGCTCATTCTAAAATTTATACGTAAATGAAAAGGACCTAGAATAGCTAAAACAATAAAAAAAGTTAGAGATCTACTACTACCTGACAGTGTGGTATTGGGATAGGGTAGACATACTAACTAGGGTAATAGAATAGAGTCTAGAAATAAACCACATACATATGGTCAACTAATTTTTTTTTTTTTTTTTTTTTTGAGA